GAAATCCGGAAAACTCAGCACAGCACCTATCCAGCTCAGGACTGGATGGAACAGAATTTATAGGTGCAGTTGCTGACCACTTCTCAGATGCTACTCAATCAGAAGAAAGGCGTGAAAACTTAAAGCGCATCAAAGAACTGTGTGGGAACATGCAGGGCATCAGTGAGGTTGCCGGATCTTCAAAACGCAAAAGGAACTGAAGGTTCTTTTCATCAAACCAGGGGGAAAGTATGTGAAAACACTAATTTGTTTTGATGAAAACACCTTCTTGTTTAAACATTGCTTGATTGGTTTAAACATTGCTTAAGTATGTCTTAATTGCGCTTATTATACTTAATTATGCTTATCTCAAGTATGGTTTTGTCTTAATTATTTCTTTCTGAAGCGCATACATTCAGGGGGAATGTATTTTAGGGGGAACTTACCTAGTTTTGGCTAACAATTGTTTTTGGTTATGAATTATTGATGAGCTCTAAGCAATGGAAGTCGGATATCTCAGTTTTGGTACTAAAATTGGAAATCTCCGATTCAGGTACTTTACAAAATCTGCCTTCTTAAACTAAACTTTAATCCTTAATTCATTTCCAACTAGCTCTAAAAGTACTGGTCCTTAGGATTTTTATAATGTACAGGACTTTGGAAAAATAGTACCACTTTTATTTTAAAAATAAATAAAAAATTCATATTTGTTTTGGTACTACCTCGTCCTAAGTAGAAATTAGAACTATAGGGAATGAAAAATGATAGTTTTATTTTGGGCCTTGAGAACCCAATAGGAATAAGTTCCCTGTAGTACATAGCTTTCTTTTCTTTTTGAGCCACTCTTTTGTGCTTAGCCAAACTAAAACAGTTACGTTTCTCAAACCAAATGAAACTGGTTTTCAAATTGGAACAGTTTCAATCCATTGGTAACTGGTAAAAGATTCCTTTTACTTTTCAACTTCTTGGAAGTTGAAACTCCTTTACTCTCACCGTTCCAACTACCCACTTAATGGAACCCGTGAACCTCCTCCTCCTCCCCTATTTAAATCAAGATATCCCAATCCATTTCCATCACAAACAACTCTCTAAGTATAAAAGTCTTCAAGTTCACTGTCTGAGAAAAACACCAAGAAAATATCCTCAATGGAGAAATTTCTCTTTCTCACCCTCATAGACGGCAATGGAGAAAAGCCTAGTGAGAAGGAAATTAATTCAAAGTTTATGGTGCAATTCTCGGCAGTAGAGAAAGTTTATGGTGTAATTCTCGTATTTTTCAGGATTATACCATACACTTTCTCTGGAACAACACTCTCTCTATTTTTTTCTTTTTATTTTTACCTTGATTTCTTTCCCCTCCCCTTTCCTTTCTTTACTTTTTCTAAATCTTTTTTGAGCAGTCCCCCCAATTTTCTTACAAGTTTTTTTTTGGGTGGTGCCTCTGCTCCCTTCTCTCAAGGAGTTCTCAAAATTTTTTTTTGAACTCTTTTTCAAAATTTCTTTTAAATTTTTTTTTTCATCTTTAAAATCTTAATTTTATCTTTTTCACAATCAATTCTCTTTTCAAAAACCTTTTTTCTTTCTTGTCATTTTATCTCTCTTTTGTTTTCTTCTTTCATTTTTATTTTTATTTTTTTTGAGAGATGTGTTGCTTCCCAGATCTTGGTTATCCACTTTGGATAATAGAGATCTATCAAACGCAAAGCCAACCGCTCCGCCAAGCAGAATCTGCTGAAGCTGAAAACGGTCAACGGCGGAAGATATCACAAAATCTCAAGACAAGACTTGGTTTAGGAATTATTGTAATTTGAATATTTGCTTAAGAGTTTTTGTTAACAAGCTGTATATTATGAGAAACTAAAAGAAAGTTATAAAATTAGTTCTCAGTACAGCGACCGGAACTCTTAAACACTTGTTTGTCATCATCAAAAAGGGGGAAATTGTTGGGAAATATATTATAGATTTTGATGATGATGTATTTAGAATGTAATAGGGACTTTAGGTCTCCCCCAATATTCAATATAATTTTTCTTTTTATAAATATTGTCAAAACCGAGCTCTTGAGATTTCCAATAAAAGCTGTGATATTTCTTTAAGCGTTTTGATGCCTGAAGACTTAATCAAATTCAGTGATATGAAAATTGGATATCTTGATCGGAAATGTCAGAGACAAGTAAGGATTTCTCAATCAGATGTAAATCCTCAGATCCGGAAGACTACATAAGAACCGGATGTCTCGCTACAACCCGCTGAAGGCTAAGTCATCCAAATCGGAAGACTAGCGCGGATCTCCTTCTCACCCGGAAGTCTGAAGAATGACTCCTCCGGATTTGTCAGCTAAGAATCGAAAGACTCATTGAAGACCGGAATTCTCAGAAAGCGGACAAGTGAGAAAATACTTAGAAAAATTATCTAAGTCCTAAATGAAGAAATTCTACCCGTTGGTAAGGAAAAAATTAATCTCTTGATTTTCAACGGCTAGATTGAAGATAATTATGCTGATTCAAGAACAAATTACTCGAAGACAAAGTCTGGACCTCTAAAATTAAAGAGCCTGCCCAGAATTCCTAAACAAGCACTAGAAGACAAACAGAGTAAAGTGCTACAGTCTTGAATTCTTGAACAACAGCTAGAAGACGGATTCTGTGAAAAAAAGGAATCCTTTCTCAACAATTGGGTACGTCCAAACACCACCTTCAACAAAGAATCTTCAAATCACAATCTTCATTCAAAAATTGAAGCCAGCAAATGCAACGGATAGTCTATTATGATTCAACGGATAGATTATCCAATCCAGCTATAAATAGCATCCTTGGAAGACTGGAGATGATATGATGAGATACGTTGATACAACAACACAACGAAGCAATCTAAAACAAAGCTATCTCATTCACAGTTAGCCCAAAAAGCTTGATAAAGAGAGATTTCTAAACTCCTTATCCAGAAGCAAACTCCTCCTCCTTCCAAAGAGCTATAGTGTAAACACTTGAAGGCTTCCTTGCCTCAAGTACCACACCACGTTGAAGGATACAACTTTTTGATCAAACTTCTTGATTAAAAAGGGGGTAGGTCAACTTTCTTACAAGTTGATCTTGCAAGTCCTATTGTTCGGATCTTGCAGTTGTTGAAGAAGCGTGACCTTCGAAGGAACAACAAAGCCAGCACGAGTGCAGTAGCAACATTGGTCTTGCGAAGATATACCGTGCAGAAATTCACACAAGTGTNACAAGTGTAATTGTTGGTTCATTATTCAACAACCAACTACATAGTGGATTTTGAGGACGTAGAAGGATTACCCCACCTTCGAACCTCGTTAAAGTTTGCGTGTCTCTCTCTTTTATCTTTACTCTTATTTGCAATTATATTAACTGTGAAAACTAACCCATCCATATTGATTACTGCTCACTCTACCCACTAAATTCCGCACACAATCTAAAGTTCACAAGAACTCTAGATTAACAATTATTTTCACGTTTTCAAAAGAAACGAAAAAGATTTTAAATTTGTAACAAAGTCTATTCACCCCCCCCCCTCTAGACTTTGTATCTCACCACTTTGGGACCACCAGAGTCGGCGATGGAGGCGAGGTTGGCCCGGGCCTGGGGTTCGGCTGGGCCAGCGGCAGGGGCAGTGCGGCGTGGCTCGAAAGTGGCAGCCGCGGCGTTGTCCGACCGCTTGGTGAAGGTTTGGTTGCTGATGGTCCAAAGCTTCGTGGCCTTCGTGAGCGGGCCAACGGTGGTGGTTACATTGAACCGTTCAAGGATGTCCATCACCAAAAACGGGTACGGGAGGAGGTGGTCGTGGTCGGTGGACGCGGCGATCGTCATGTTGATCATGACAAACTTCGCCCAATTGATTGGGGCCGAGTGCATGATCGCGTGGACTAGCTTGAGGTCCTCTCCGGACATGATTGTGTGGTCGTGCTTCCGAGGTTTGATGATTCGGGAGACGATGTAGAGGACGAGGCGGCCTTCGGGGTTAGCGGAGTGGATGGTGGGGCGGCCCGAGGCATGGCGAATGAGCTCGGTGATGCCAAGCTCGTTGAGGATAAGGCCCTCGTTGTTGAGCACCCAGTCCTCTCCGCCATAGTGAGACACATCGTCGCCTTGGATGGGGAGGCCGGCGATGCGCCCAAGCTGCTCCACGGTGAGCTCAATCGGCGTGCTCTTGACAAGCAAGTAGAGCACGTCGTCCTCACACCGGAGGTTGGAGTAGAAGGCCCGGATTAGCGCCGGGTTGATCTCCTTTCGAGCCCGGGAGACGAACGGCCAAAGGCCGGCTTGATGAAACTGTGCGTCAAGGTCGTCGTAGCCCTGCAGCTCCGGGTAGCGCTCCGGGATGATCCGTGGGGGAGCCACAACCCGTTTGGAGAAGAAAGTGAGGAAACGGGTGCGTTCCTCTTCGGAGTCAAACCAAAGGTATGACCCGTCTCCGTAGTAGAGGCGCTCCTCGGAGGATGACGTAGGCGCCCGGGATTTGGACTTTGATTTCCCGGAGGTGGCAGCCCTGCTCTTGTCCTTGCCCATGATGAAAAAAAAGTTACAAAAGAGGAGAGTAGGGATGATGGAAAAAGCAAAGATATTGAAGAGAATTGTGTTTGTGTGTGTAAAAGTGAGAAGAGGGGGTCCAAATATATAGGAGAAAGGGTGGCCAACGTTCAAAATTTTGAAAAAATAGCTGTTGGAGCTTTTAATGCAGTTGCCAACGGTATTTTTTTTTTGAAAAATTTGACCAGAATAGCGATGTTCCAATGGCTACATCGCTGTTGGGACAGCGCTGGTGAGCCTAGTACAGCGCTGTTCTGCGTCAAGGTTTTTTAAAAAAAAGAGTCAACCAGACAGCGATGTTGGGTACCCTACAGCGATGTTCCAAAAGTTTCTGGAATTGAGTGAGGGTTTGAGCCCATTTGAATAGCGATGTTGGGTCTGTTAGAACAAAGGCCCAACGCTAGAGGGGGGGTGAATAGCGTTTGAAACAAAATCGCATGAAATTAAAAACGAGAGCTTTAAAGTAAAGAGCGTAAGGAAGGAGCACACCGAATTTTATCCTGGTTCACCACAACGTGTGGCTAATCCAGCCTCCCGAGAGACTCTCTCGAGCTACACTAACTCCGTTAAGCTTAAGGGTGCTCGACAAACCGATACAACTTGAGAACCCGAGTCACACGAGCCTCAACACCTTTGCTTGGAGATACTGCACTCCAAGACTTCTCACGAAGGAACAAAGAACTTCCTTCGAATTTACAACAAAGGAACAACCTCCCTTAAAGTGTATGAAAACACTTAAACACTCAGGAATAAAACTCTCACAAAGAGTAGATATGAGTGAACTAGTATACGCTCAAGAACACGACAATTTCTTCAAGAATTGGCTCTCAAATAGCTAAGAAAATTAGGAATGCTTATGCAATGAAAGAGTATTGAAATGTTGAAGAATTGTGTGTAAAATGAGAGGAATTGGGTGCCATTTTATAGTCCAAAATGGGATAAACCTGTTGCTAGAATTTCCAACAGGATGAAGACAAATTTTTCAGAGACACAGGGAGATAGTCGATTGTCATAGCCTGATAATCGATTATCAAAAGATTCCTTGTCCAAAAATTCAAAATTCTATCCGTTGAAGGACAACGGTAACCCAGATAATCGATTGTCAACAAGTGATAATCGATTATTGGTCCTCTCAGAAGTTTCTGGGTTTTGGCTGCACAGGCTGATAATCGATTATTGCAAATATGATAATCGACTATTGCTAGCTTCAGAACTTTGGGAGTTCAAAGCTGCAGGGGCTGATAGTCGATTGTCACTAAGGTGATAATCGATTGTCACCCAGCTAAAGTCTACCCAGCTGAAACCCGTTTTGAAAAACCAAGGTCCAAAAACGAAGTGTTCCATAAGTAAAAACCAAGTTTTAAAAACATTGTATATGGTATAAAATAGTGAAAACAAGACTTGTTCGGTAAAAACCAAGTCCTCAAGGTCGTAAATCACGTGCGTACGGTTTTGACCGTTTTTCACGTGTTAGACCGATTGACCAAGATACAAAAGTGGTTTTTATAAAATAATTATTTGGGAACCTTTTAAATATGCTCAGAGATAAAAAAAACAAGGTTTAAAACATAGAAAAGCACCGAGTTGGTTCGGACGCCAAAAAACCGAACGCCGAACACGGTACGCCGACTTAGGTGATTTTGGTTCTAAGCAAGGACCAGGGATTTTAATAAAAAATTTATCAAAAATGTTTATTTTGATGCACAAAAATATTTTATGATTTTGTAAAAAAATATTTAGACTCTTTGAGAACCGAGACTTGAATTGATTGTCGGTTTTGATCACAAAAGACCAACTCGACTAAGTCTTCAATTCTTGATCTTGTCCTTGAGTCTTTTTGGTCTTGTTCCATGCCATTCTTCACGCCTTGAGTTATTCAGCGAAACTCTTCATATCCACGGCGGTTTGGCAATTATCAAAACCTGTCAGAAATGAACACGACTTTAGTTAAACATACAAAGTGTGTTCCAACAGGGTCTCCCTACATCGCTGTTTTACGATTAAGAAAAATTTGTAAAAAAATTGACAGCACTGTTGCTAAGAGGACATCGCTGTTGAAAAACTTTCTGGTTTCATTAATTAAAAGGTGTTTTGGAAGACAGCGATGTTGAAAGAGGGACAGCGCTGTAGAGAAAGTTTCTGGAAAGAGTAAGGAAAGGGAACTCTCTGGGACAGCGCTGTTGGCTTGTTGTACAGCGCTGTTGGAAAACTTTCTGGCTGACGGTGTTTCCCTCAACAGCGCTGTTGTGTCTCCTCAACAGCGTTGTTTGCATGGCTGACGGTGTTTCCCTCATGTCTCTTTTTTATTTGTCCTTGAGTTTGTTGAATTTAATCATTGTGTAAACTGCAATATAGTAAACATCATTGTAAAAATAAGGGAAAGGAAGGGTTATCAGCAATAATGAAGAATAGTAAATGAGGGTAGAAGATAAAGAGCTTTCAAACCTTAAGTTAGATGGAGAAGTCTTCTTACAAAGTTTACATTGCAATTGTTAAAGATTTTAAAAATGTATTGTTTCAATCTCTTTATATATTGAACTCTGTACAATATCACAAGGCTGATAGGTCGGCTTTGGCCTAGAAAAGACACACTAATCAATGATGTCATATTGAAAAGTTGAAATAGATCCGTCATTGCACGGTTTCCAAAATATTTTGTAAATCCATGCAATTAATGCATTTTCTACAAAACATTATCTATAACTGTGCCCAAAATACCCCATGTGCAAAATATTGTATGCATGTTCAAGTACCCAAAACAAAAAATCTTATTGCAGAAAATGAAGTTGAAGTCCAAAGAACCAATTTTACATTAATCAATCTAGGAGCAAGACTATTGTGTTTGGAACTGAAATTTTCATTGTTCCACCTATTACAGAATGGTATGTATATATGTGTAATAGTATGGTAATATATTTACTTGGGCTTAGAAGACAATTCAAACTACCACATTTAATGTCCAAGTACTTTAAAGATTTTTTGAATCTATTCAATAAAATTGGAATCCTTCTATTCTTAAAAAGAGGGGAAAATAGCACCCATCCTTTTCTCGCCCATCTGCTAAAGGATATAAGCCGTTGATATTTGCTAATAATTTAATCTACGGTCCATTTTTGCTGGATGAAAACAATGAGAAAAAAACAGAAAACGATATATACTACGTAATAAATAAGTAAAGAGTACTCCGGGTATAATAAAGGCAATAATTAATCATTTAATTCCAACATCTTGAATGTCCCATTCCAAAAAAAGGAAACACGTGTTTATTAAATAAATAGTGTGTGAAAAAGGAAATTGTTAATGATGCATCAACGTGCATATAGGAACCGCATAAAAATTTGAAAAAGAAAGGGGACAAGGACTAAAATAGTACTCCCTTAGTCCTAATTCTTTCTTCCTAGTTTGACTTTTCTCCATTTTTAATTTTTGTCTTTGACTTCAAATTTTACCTCCTTAAAAAAGATTTTTTAAATTTTTTTACAATCATTCAAAATATAGAGTTAAAAGATAATTGGTGTAAATACATGAGGGTATTAATGTCATTTGTCATCTTTTTTTTCTAATGGGAAGGTAGTTTTAGGACGGAGAAAAAGGGGAAGTGGGAAGAAAAGTTTTAGGACGGAGGGAGTAGTAAAAGAACAAGTTTCTCGAGTCTGCAAACAAAAAAACACACATCATTCGGATCGACAACTTAGAGGGTCCTAAATGTGAAAGAAGTTTCATAACAATCTGTCATAGTTATGTGCCAATTTATCTATTTTCATTGTTCTAATAGCACATGAAGTTTCTTAACCAAAAACAAACAAAAAAAAATTAGTATATCTGTCAATACCACTTCTTGACATTCACTCGTTCCCATGAACATCCATGATGCAAGAAAACCCCAATGAAAAATTTCCATTCCAAAAAGGAATCCACATGTAGGAAAATGTTTTCTAGTGGTTTTTAAACTTCACAAAAAATGGCATCAGTATATGAAATAGAAAAACATCGTGTTGCCAACAAAGGAGTATCTTGCTGCAAAGACCTTCCATGAGTCGTGAGAGCACTAAAAATGAAAATGAAAAACTGATAAGAAAAGGATCATTGCAACAACAGTAAACATAACTGGTTGCCTGGAAGGTGCATAGGTTTTAATTTTTCATCTTAAATCCACACCAATTCTTTGCAAGAAATGAATCCTTATCATATCAATGAAACATTTTAATATCTATTTATACACCTAGTCATGTGTAAGTATGTGACAAGGGTAAACATAAGTGGATTCCTGCATTAAGAATTTATAAGATATACTCTAGTCATGATATGACGTCATTCATATTCATTTGGGATGGGTGGAACAAATACTCCGTAATTAACTACACAAACTTACAATTTTTTGCGCTTTGCGATCTGTGGAGCTACTTTGTTAATATGATCTTCTCGCTTATCATGTGATAAAAGCCTTATGTGCTTCACAAGTTTATGGCAGTTTAATTGACAATTCGTGCAAATACCATGCTCGATTTCAAAAAGCCTCTACGCGCAGCAAAGCTTTGCCTATGTTAAATAAAACACCACATTCCCTAACATACTTGCTTCTGGTTAGAGAAACGTGTTTTAAGATTTCAAATTAGAATCAAATTGTAACCTCACGCATGTATCTACGGCTTTTTCTTAGTCTGTATTCTTCATGACAGTCCAAAGAGCAGAAGAGATCCTCAAAGTATTCAGGTGCCTTAGCACAGCTTTTCCTGGACAAAAATTGTTGACCACAGATTTATATCAAGTTGAACGAATAAAAAGATCACAGGAGAATGGGAGAGAGCATAGATAAAGCAACAAGCACACAAAGGCAAAGAACAAACTACAGTTAACGAAGAAACAATACTGCAATAAAAAAACACCAAGCACGAGTCATACAAGACACACAACAAGTACACAAAACTACACCCTAACCCAAGGCGCCTACCGAACTACAACTTTAATCCTAGCTCTCCAAACACTCCTATCTAAGGCCATATGTTCAATAAGGGCAAGAAGTCCTACGTCATATTTAATCAACTCCTTCCAATTCGTCTTAAGTTGACCCCTTCCCCTACTCCTCCCCACCAACGTAAGCTCTCGCATATCTGCACTAGGGCGTCAAGTTGTTACGCTTGGATTTGCATTGATACTACGTATAGACAACAAAATTGTTAAAATGTTTCAACTTTCCACTCCTAAAGGGGACACGTTAGGTTCTGTGTAAAATAGGACATCTTTGCGGAGCATGACTCGGCCACCTACCTGTCTTTGATCCATTGTCTCGAAGAAGCTATGGAGGACAGTGCAACAAATGGGGAAAAAAATGGNGGGTGGGGGTGGGCTAGAAAAGAGGGGAAGAAGAGAAAAAATGGTACGGGTGGGGGTGCGGGTCGGGCTGGAAGAGGAAGAGAAGAAAAAAATGGAGGGGGAGGGTGGGGGATTTTGGAGAAGATGAAGAAGAGAGTGGAAAACCAAGAGAAAAAAAGAAAAGGGGTCAAAATCATAAAATTTAAATTTATAAAATTATAATTTGATCCAAATGACCTGAAGGTGACTTAGAAACCGCCTATTGGACCACCGGTGAAAGATTGTTGAAAGTTTGTGTACTTTTGTGATAGAAATTAAAGTTTATATACCGAAGTGAAATAATGATGAAAGTTCATATACCATGGGTGAAATTTACCCGGGATACTCTTTAACAATTTGTAAGAAACTATTGAGCTTATATTCATAGTTATAAAAATTGTATAGCCCCAAAGTGGGGAGCACTCCATGCTTTACGCATAGGGTCGGTCCATAATACAACCACTGAATTCACTATTCTATCTTATGTAAACTGGGATAATTGTGCGCTCTCTGGTATGACATTTCAGGTCTATGCTGCTGAGCTAGAAGATCCTTGACACGATCTTCACAATATTACAATTAACAAAACAAAGTTCCTCTTATCAATTTAGGGTAAAGCATAGAACTATAGAAGTGGCACCTTCGCACAAAAGATGTATATGTTGACTGCATTCTTTTGCCCGCGTCTATGAGCTCTATCTTCAGCCTTCAATCTCAAAATAGCTAAACATCAGGAAGACGGTCAAGAATTATGCAATACTGAAAGGGAGGAGTTTCAGAATGTGGTATAAAACTAGAACTAGGGTGTGTATCCAATTGCCAACAATAGCTCAACGGATTGCAAGAAACATGTTTATAAAGACTACTAGTCCCGATGTGTGCATTGCACGGTTGAAAATGCACAAGAAAATATAATGAATAAATAAGAAATCATAATAATCTATTAAAATATGCAAATCAGTAGTTCAAGGATGGGTGTTCGTGAAGTTGCAAAGAAAATATGAAGTTTGAGGAACTTGGGAGAAAAAATAAACAAAAACAACACAAAACCAGAAAAAATTAAAAAGGATTCTTTTTATAGAAGTTTCTTGTTCCACTGAAGAAGCATAATAGATGCACCTGTTGCATGTGTGCAGGTTCCTTTGGCAGTTCCAGAAAGACAACATTTTGAGCAGCCGACAGGTTTAGTCCCGAGCCACCGACAAGTATTCCAATTATTGCAATCTTAAGCTGGGATAACAAGAAATTCAGTATACATTTACCATTTGTTTATAAATTAAGACCTGCAATCTCAAAGGATGCAGTCAATATTAAATTCTTCCTTTACATGGGCCACCATCAAAAGCATCTTTGCAACAAATGAAGACATCCATGCATATATTTTCTCAACTATAAGCTCCATGAGTTTTAAAGTCATTCCACTGCAAAACCCAAACTAGTATCTTACTCCCTCCGACACAAAATAAGTTTCCACAATTCACTGCATACACCCAGACCCCATTTCCGTGGGATCCAACTGGGTTGTTGTAACTTGTAATACACCAGATAAAGCTATTAATAAAGGTGAAATTGTGTGATTGAGTTTTGAGCACAGGAGAGAGAAAATGTATGTGTGAGCCACACAAATACACAATTCCTTCCTCAAAAGGAAAGAGAAATCTTTTTTGAGACAAACAAAAAAGGATATGTGGAAGCTTTTTATGGGACGGAGAGAGTATTATTTAATACTTAAGGTGATAAAATTTTGAAATTGAACTACAATTATTTACTAAAAAATCGTCACATTAAACCAACAAAATAACAATGATGATAAGTTAAATCGTTCACCACACAATTCCTTCCTCAAAAGGAAAGAGGAATCTTTTTTGAGACAAAAAAAGGATACGTGGAAGCTTTTTATGGGACGGAGAGAGTATTATTTAATACTTAAGGTGATAGAATTTTGAAATTGAACTACAATTATTTATTAAAAAATCGTCACATTAAACCAACAAAATAACAATGATGGTAAGTTAAATCGTTCACCCATGTTCAAAGATTTGTAAGTTGATTTTCCAATATCAATCTTTTAATGAAACTTGATAATGGTAAATAATTCAATTCATCATTGCCCCATAATTCTTTCCATGTCTAGAAATAATATAAGTTGATGATGACAGTCTGGTTTTGGAATTTTCATCACATAATTCCTTCAGATGAAGCCTGCGATAGGAGGAGCATCCAGTGTAAAACATTGTCACTATGTTTTTTGCATGAACTAATAGTGTTATTTAAATTTAAATAATGAATTGCCACCATAAATTTAATGTCACCGACCCCAACTAGATGGGATCAACAAGCTAACAATGATGGTAATAAGTTAAATCGTTAAACAAATATTAAACAGGTGGAGACCTAAAATTGGATGCCAATGTCATGATGGAGGGATGCATCCTTTTCAGTAATTTGAAATTTGTAAAGTGGTTGACCATTCTTAAGTAAAGTTCTTAGAGCAATATTTTATTAACAATACCAATAAAAATAAAGGAATAATTGATGAAAGAAATCAAATTTCTAGGCCAGTGACAGCCCTTTTTTGAATTTTTCAGTTTATTTACAAAACAAAAAGAGAATGTAAAAATATCCAGACCTCTTTTGAGCTCTGGAAGGATTGAATAGCAGACTGCCTATCATAAGCAGGTGTATGCCCATCAATACGAACATAGCTTATACCTTTCTCAGAAACAAACTCCTGTAAAATTTCAGTGGATACAGTGTAAATGAAAAAATTTGCTCTTAAGCTCAAACACAACCCAGCACAAGTAAGGTAAAAAAGGGTTTGCAAATACAAAAAAAAAATCTGTTGAGAAAAATGAAGGACTCACCTGGACTCCATCAAGAACCTTATGATGATGAGCAAATATTATCATTTTGTGAGAACTGCAACTTGCACTGACTGTTTCATCTCCATCTATTTCTGTGATGAC